AATTATTCTAAATACAACTTTGGGCATTCTCCATGTGTATATTCTGACTAGCTAAGCACATGGGAGAAGCATTCATTTCCAAATGAAGATTTCTTTAAAAATAAGTAAATGAATGAGCATAAATTTTGTATTATTTGAAAGCTCTAATACTAAATCATCATTAAGAATAAGATGCAATTTTAATGCTTTTTATCACTTACTAGATTTTTATGACTCTAAAACAACTGCTAATTTTTGTACGATAGACTCCACGTTTTAATGTTAAATACTATTATTAGCATATGCAAATCTGTGTATATAAATATTGTTTTTAATTGAAAACCATTACTAGTCAATAGTAATTAGTCTACTTAGGTCTTTTACTTGTCTGTAGTACTGATACTATTAGTATAGTACGCATCAACTTTGAATTACTACTTAAGTTTGACAAATGGTGTTTTAATGATGTATAATTACATAAATAACGTTTTCCTACTGGCTCTGTAGTACTGTACTGCATTTCATTTTCAAACACAACAAAAATGACACACTCACAATGACAGTTGTAGGGGAAAGCAAACAAACTTCTTTCCTCACACATTTCATGAATGATATATATACAATTATACTTCCTTTAAACTTGATACAAGTTTCTAATTAAAATAAAATTCACACCTGACCTTTCAAGTCGTTTCACTGCTTCAGGGTTTATTGTTAAAGCAGTGCTTTTCTCCATTCTACTAGCCACCGTCGCATTATATGCCGCGGAGGGAAAATGATGCCATCTGGAGAGCGTAATATTAAACTTTTTTATTTGTTTGTTTTAAAATAGTACCAATTTCAATTTCGCCAGTCAAGGCTTCGTGGTCAACATGCTCGAATTATGAAGTGGAGCTCATTGCTTGAGGACATTTGAAGCAAAAATAAGTCCCAGATTTTGGGGCATTATATGCGCTAAAATCAAATCCCAGTATTCGGTGGAGCCTTGTTGTTATTGTTTGTTTGTTTTTTCAGTGAAAAGCTACACAGTGATCTATATGTACTACGTCCATCACGAGAATAGAACCATAGATTTCAGTATGAAAGTCAATAAATTTACTGCTAATCCACCGGAGGAAGGTATAACTTAGATAGCCCTTTTGTAAAAAAATCTAAAACAAATATATATATATACATTGTTCAACGAACATTAAATTTACTATTGTACTTGAAGTTGTAGTACAGAACAGTGCTATATGCCTGCTATCCCTTAGTTAAGAAGTATTTTTTTCAAGATTATTGTGCTTTTCAGACTCCTTAGTTCAAATGCAAAGATTACTCAAGAAGCAATTTAACTTCCCTGTTTCAAAAGCATGCAAGATGTGGATTCGCTAATTGGCAATTAGCCGACTTTCTTGCAGGTAGGTAGCATGAGATGTACAAGAATAGAAAGTTATATTTCCTGTCGGCGAATCAGATATGGGTAAGGAGCAGTTACGTCCAAGAGCTCAACTCTCGCTAGGTTCAGATCTTAAATGTGAGGTGTTTTTTGTGTGCAAACTTGGCTTTATTTGTGTATTTTGTTTTGAATATAAAGCCAGGTTTGCCCTTGTATGTAACATAGTATAACAAATATACTTTTAATCTGAGGATCTTGTGTAAAGTGAGAAGTTTAGTATTTTAAATTTCACTTAGTGAAAGAAGTTTGTGTTTAAAGTTTAAAGAGGAAGTTTTGAGCATTTAGATTTTATAAATGTGTTTATATTTTAACATGTAGTTTAGCTAAAGTTTGAACTGTAGTTTAAACTTGATCTTCAGTTTTGTTTAAATATATCTTTTGTAGCTTAATTTCCTCTTCTTCAGAGATTGATTTTTGCTTCAAATTTAGGGTTTATCTTAATTTAAGGGGAGACACACAGAACTGATAAGCACTTTAAAATAAAATCTTCATCTTGCTTTTATCAGTTCGACATTTACCAGGAGCAAACACATGCTTTTATTTTGTTTTGTTTTAGTGTAAATAAACATTATTTTTGTTGTCAAATTACCTAGTGTCGAGCCTATTCCCTAGATAATCCCAGGTGTAAATCAGAAATATAATTATACTACATAATCTGCTATTCTGCAAACCTTCAGTTAGCAGGCCTAAATGACTGCTCTGTGGAATACCACAGTGTTAAAGTAGGATATTCATCAACCAAGAATGCACAACCCCAACTCTGGTCGAGGCTGCCTACAGGGGAGAGGCATGATGTACCATCAGTGAATGATCTCCACCATCACGAGCTGTTTTACCAATAGGCAGTATGGTGAGAGTTGGTGGATGACACCACTAATTATCAGGGAATCTCTGATATGTGAAATGTCCCATTATTGAGCCAGGAGTGTAATGCCATTGGCTGGCATTGACTATCTCATCAACAGGTGGGAAGATACCCCCATTGGTTGGCAAAAGCTGCCAAATTGAGTTCTCCTGGCAACAAGTGAGACAGCTATTCCCATTGTTTGCAAAGCCACCAATATGAATCATCTCACTTGTTAGTGGGATGGCATCCTCTGATAATTGAGGAGGAGGGTCAGAATGAGGCAAGGAGCTTCCCCATGCAGGGAGGCAGCCAGCTATCAGACCCAGACTAAGAAATGAAATGCCATTGATGGTGACCAACAGAAACGATTTAGGTGAAAGATGACTCAGCAGGTTCTCACTGATGTAAACAATGATTGGTGGGCCAGGTAAAAGTGTTACCAAGAAGAAATGTACTAAAAAGAAGAGGTAAAGCTGGAGAACAAGTTCTGCCAACTTGAGCTGCAATGCTGATTGGCTAGGCACCTAGGAGAAGGGAAAATGATCTGAGTAGCAGAAGAGACCTTCCCCAGGGTGAGAAACAAAGTGCCGAGCCAGGCACATTTTATGTGGAAACCAAGAAGTATGTATAACAGGTAAATAAGGTACATCAATCACCTCATTGGTTGTCAACTCCTGGTATCATAGTCAGTGTTCTTCCAAGCATAGGACTCTTGGAGTCTTTCTACTCTTTTGCACCCAATCATACCCAATTCTCAGCCAACACCAGGTTGAGACATCCTAAATTTTGATGGCACATTATGGTAGACATACACGGGGCCTCTACATTCAGATTTAGATGACAGAAGGGTGAAGTACCATAGGCAACTCACCATTCCCGATTTATTTGTCACCCTAGCAGAGACGTGTCATGGTCAGTTTGTTAGGGTACTTGACTCACAATCTGAGGGCCGTGGGTTAGAATCCCCATCCCATAAAACATGCTCGACCTTTCAGCCATGGGGGTGTTATAATGTGATGGTCAATCCCACTATTCATTGGTAAAAGAGTAGCCCAAGAGTTGGCAGTCAGTGGTGCTGACCAGCTGCCTTCCCTCTAGTCTTTTACTGCTAAATTAGGGATGGCGAGCACAGATAGCTCTTATGTGTAGCTTTGCAAAAGAATCAAACCAAAACACCCTAGCAGTATACCTTACATTACAGAGAGGATCATGACTACTCCATGGATCATAAACTTTATCAGTTGGTGCCTGCTGTCTCACATGCTGCCTGTCAAAGGTTCTTATCTTCTATAACGAAGTTATCATCTTCAGATTCTGTTTCTATGACAGCCACATCTGTCATGTCCATCTGTACGTACATAGCTGCTCCTTTAAGGTCTTCTTTCCTCTCGAAGTACCTCTTCAACAGATTGGCATGGTAGACCATGATTGTTCCATCAACTTTCACTTTATAGTACATTCTGTGGACCACTTCCTGCACTGTGAAAGGTAGTTTCCACTACTGGGTGAGTTTGTTGTTGGCTGTAGGTAGCAAAACTAAAACCTTTTGTCCGACTTTGACACATCGACCCTTGAACTTCTTGTTATAGAAGTGTTTTTGACTATCTTTGGGTTTGGCTTCCCTGGTAAAACTGTTTTGATAGGTCTGGTTCAATACTCCTTTCCAGTCTTCTATTTTGTAATTCTGCTTCCTCTTTGTCTTGTGCCCGACTTCCTCTCGGGCACTGTCCCAAAGTTTCTGTGGTGAAGGGTCTTTTTTTTTGCACTTCCTTCAAATTTTTACTACCTGTTATATTCCCTTCCCTATCACCAAGACATATATTGGTTTCTTGATACACATGGCCTTAAGGTCTCCTGCATAATATGGAGTATCCACCTATATTTTTCCTATAGGAACCTTCTTCAATGCCCCATCAGTTAGCACACACAGGCATACCTTGCCTGTGATCTGATCATCAGATACCAGACTGGATCTCACTGCTGCAATACTGTGCCCAGTGTCTCGCAGAGCCTTCACTTTCTAATCCCCAACATAGCCTTCACATATTGGCATATTATGATTTGTTAGCACTTCTCAATATTTGTAACATGCACCAATCACTACTGGCACTTCTTTTTTGTGGCGAATCTGACGTGTTTTCTTGATTCTGTCACATCTAGTCACTCTTTTCTTGTTTCTTACCAGCACCATCTTTGTAAATAGCTCCAGCTGCTTTATGTTGAGATTTCAGCTGTTGCTTGCTAGTGATGTACTTGCATTCCTTTGCAATGTGTCACCTTCTGTCACCTTTAGTAGACTCTTGCTTCTGGTCAGCCATCACTGGTTTCGAATTTAACTGGATATTTTTGGACTTGCCAGTTATACTCCCTCCATGCTCTCTCTCCTTTAGGAACAGTGACATATTAATTGAACATGTAATCATGAACTGTTCATGCACTAATAGGTCTGCCAGTCCCTCATAACTATTTTTACACTTGGCCATGTCAGTCCATCTTGTGAAGTATTGCCGTAGACGTGCCACAAATTGAAATATAGTTTCTTCAGTGTTAGGTCTGACTTCTGGTGAAAACCTTCTTCAATAAGTTCATATCATTTCAGTAAAGTCACTTTTAATTTGTCATAGTCCATGGCATCTTCTGACAACATGCATGCATATACTTGTAGGCCTTTTCCTGTGAGAAGTGGACTGAGACAGATTGCCCAGTTTACTTTGTCCCAGTTCTGACTTTGGGCAAATATTTCATATCTCTCCAGGAATGCATCTATGTCATCTTTCTGTTCATCAAATGTGGGCAGCTTGGGTCGGCTAGCCCTGACTCCACTGTCATTCTTGGATCCTTCTTCCTTCGGTTGGGTGAGCTTTGCAATCTCAATTTGTGCTCTTATTCTGTCTATTTCTAGTCTCTTCTCTCTCTCATTTTTTCTTTCTCAATTTGTATTCTCATTTTCTCTATTCCAGCCTCTTCTTTCTCTCATTTTCTTCTGCCTCTCCTCCTCTCTCTCTAGTTCTTGTTTAACAAACTCTCGTAGTTCACAGTCTTTTAACCCTAGATGCTCTCCTCTTTCTATCCATTTATCAACATTTTACATGGTTATATAGTGTGATTGTAATCTCACTATTTGCACTACTACTACAGTTGTGCGTATGTAGGCCTAATTATTTCCACTGCCATTCACGTTTTCTTCTACTGCCATTTATCATTGTATAATCCTGGCTGTGGCTTGCAAAATATCAAAAACTACTTTTTAATAGTATATACAGTAATGTAAATATACGAGTGTGTTGGGCTGAGAATTCTTCTACAGTAGGTGTTTGTGACTTGTTGACAATAAAATCGACAAAGAACGAAAAGCAGCCACTCCACTTGTTTTTAAAATACTATATATATTCGAAACAAATTAAATTTATGTACAAAAATTCTTTACACTATGGAGATCATATTTATATCTTAAATACTATACAGTTCTCTTCTTCTTGTCAAATTTCCGCTTAGGCCAATTCAATTGCTTTAGAGTTCAGTTGACAAGCTCAACTACTTTTTTCTATTTTTATCACAATAGTACCAGTGTTTAGTTCACTTACACTGCCCTGTGGGATATCGCAATTGTATCCTAAACTTCCAATAATTGTCTGATTTTTCGTGCTTACAATAATTATCTGCTTTTTGTCAAAATCCACACAGGTGGTTTCAATTAGTTTAGAACCCCCTTTGACGAGACAAATTATTCTCCTTATCTCTTGACTCACAAACTGTGGGTGACAGGTTCGAATCCCCATCCAACCAAACATGCTCGCCCTTTCAGGCACTATCATGTGATAGTCAATCCTATTATTCATTGGTAAAAGAACAGTCCATGAGTTGGCAGTAGGTGATGATGACTAGCTGCCTTCCCTCTAGTCTTTCACTGCTAAATTAGGGACAGCTAGTGCACATAGCCCTCGTGTATCTTTGAACGAAATTTAAAACAAACCAAACCAATCTCTTTCAAACTGTTAATCTCACTCAACCATTAGGCCATTCACTATCATGATGGTTAACATTTTCTAACTTTTCTCTAGACCAAACTTCTCTTCCACATGACTTCACTTTTACTCTCTCTGTCTGTTCGCAACTATGTATATGTTTATCACCAAGGCCTTCTAGAAATTTCGATAGCCTCGGCATCAATGAATTAAAAACACAACATTCGATAGCCTCAACATCATTGAATTACAAACACAACTTAATTAATAGTATCTCCAATTAACAGATATCTAACACTGCCAAAAGAGCTTGGACTGGAAAACTTCATTCACAAGCATGACTTTCAATCTCTCTTAGCTAGTATTACGTGTTTTTGACTGGAGTTGGGATTGGCTTGCTCTGTTAAGCAAAAACGTGAAGATTTTTAGAGACAACTTTATTCAGTATTGGACTCGCCAGGTGCAACATTACTATGACAACCCTCAGTCCTCCACGTCTTTCTCGCACTGAGATTGATTTTCAGTGGAAGAATTAAATCAGCCATTCTGGGTGCAACATACTTTAGCAGTTCCACTTTCTGAGGCAGCAACAAGAAAAAACTTGTATTGGCAAGAAACTGACATTTAAGAGAGAAGACCTATCTGGGATCTGACTACTCTTTCATGCAACCATTTCCCCTCAGTGACTAACTCTTCCTATTGGTCATAAGAACTTCAACTGATGGAAAATACTATTTATTTAAGTACAAAGCTTGCTTAAAGCTTAATAACTCAAGAGTTGAGAAGAGCATGAGAAAAATAGAAAAAAAATTTTCATGGCACCAAAATTTCCTCTTCCCTATCTATTCCAAGGTATTTTCAGTTGCAATGATTTCCCCTAAAAGTGATCAGCTAAGCTTTACAGATTAACAGAAAATGTATTTTGGATCAATCTGAATTCCTTGACTTTGACTGAATTTGAACAATAAAGGAAACTGGACACTTTAAAACACAGTGAAACAACATCTTCTTAACAGTCAAAAACAAGTGAACTAGAGTAACCTAAGAAGTTCATAAGAGGTTTATGAAGAACTCATTAACTTTAATAATTAAATTTTGGAAAAATATTTTATTGGTTAAAGAAAGAGCTTGAACTTTCTTTTCCAAGTTTAGGTCTTGAGCTTTAGAAAAAGAGAGGTTGAAGTGCGAGAGCTGAGCTTTATATATAGAATTCTATAATGCCATCTCTTCCAAAGCACAAGCACTACCTATATCACTGTTTGGTCATTCCCCTTGAAAAATATGGCAGTTTGTATCCTTGAGATATCTCATGATCTGCCTGTAGAAAAGATCACTGTCAACTTCTACATAGCATGCATAACTTTACAGGAATATTTCCTACATGAAGAATATCTTGAAAAGATGCGTTCAAGTCGAGGATTTAGAGTTTCCAAGACGAGGATATCCTTGATAATTAATGACTTGGAAACAAAGGAATATAGATCAACCTGGGATGCCAGGCCTATCCATAGATACATACATACAAGTTGCACCCCCAGTCATGTTAAGTAAAGTGTAGTGTCTTGTAACAGGTTAGAATACAACAACACAAATGTCAGTGACAAAACAAGTCCACAGGCAACAGTACAACACATATTCAAGAAGAATTTCAGTAACGAAAAGTTACTGTATATGTTATTGTATATGAAGACATACCAGACAAGTTTCCAGACACAGCATCTACAGGTTTCTGCACGACTATAGTGCTGAAACGAGTACTGAGAAACAATTCTCCATGTACACTAGATTGAGTATGGAAGATACACAGGGATGAGGGCATATGGTTTGAACATGATAGTCTTACAAACCAGCCTTTTACAATGGATCCTATGCTGCAGGACTATTTATAAGATGCACAGTCATCGGACATAGCACGACCGGACGTGGTGACAGACTATAACAACGAGGTGAAGCTCCACAACTGTTTTCATATGATGTACTCAACCTCTCTATAGTGTTATACTTTCACTTAAGACTATTGGAACTAAATTTTGAACACAGAGATGCAATAGCACATTTGGAATAACACTGTTTAATACAAGTGAAAGAGTTAGAGAAAGTTGATTGTTTGTTTGTTTGTTATGAATTTCACACACAGCTACACAAGGGCTTTCTGTGCTAGCTGTCCCTAATTTAGCAGTATAAGACTAGAAGGAAGGCAGCTAGTCATCACCACCCACCGCCAATTATTGGGCTACTCTTTTACTGATAAATAGTGGGATTGGCTGTCACATTATAATGCTCGCACGGCTGAAAGGGCTAGCATGTTTGGTGTGATGGGGATTCGAACCTGTGATCTGCAGATTGGGAGTCAAGTGCCTTAACCACCTGGCCATGCCGGGCCAATAGAAAGTTGAATCGTCATGTTCTGTGTGTTAGTGTGTGCCACTCTCATTCCTGATGTAAACAAGTAATTTCTCAGCATAATACAATAACTTTTATAATAGTGTACCCTGAAAAATTGTGTTCGGAATATCCATGCTTGACCAATCTTTAATGAATTAAATTTTTATATATATGCATTTAGGGATTTCAAAATCTTAATGTATTAATCAATAAGAATTAAAGTATTGATCATGCAATAGGAATAATGAAATCTAGAACAAAACACCCAATAAGTATAAAAAAAATTCTCGGGAAAAATGTCGAAAATTTTTTATGATACTTCAGATAAAGAAAAATGTGAAACATGTTTCTGTATGAGTAAGTAACTAGCCTTATTATTTAGAAGTCGGTCAGAATCAACCTTTTGTTAATGGGCTGCTTTGTTCCAACACACACAATCTTCTCATACAGAAAACCTTTATTGTGACTTTATTGGCATACCACCAGAAATTACATTCACATAATTCTTAAAATACAGAGACTGAAAAACACAAACTAAAAACAGTGAGTTACTTTAGAGTTTTAAAGCAATTACAACATGATTGCATTACTGTATTATATCAGTGCTAAAATCTCGTATTTGTACATTATTTCTATATTAAACAAATTCAATGTTTTTGTGATATTTATACATTTAAAACATTTAAAGATTATCTCTACAACAGTTGCAAGACCATCCAACAGTACCAAGCAAGTTAATATAAACTGCAGATAGCAAAAAAGGGGGGGAGCTACAGTATAAAATTTGTCCTTGTATCTTCAAGAGAATATTTTCAAAATTCACATAAAGAGTAATACACTTTTCTACAGTATTTGTGAGCCTCATAACAATGTTAAACTTTCTAGTACTTTAATCTTTTGTTTGTTGTAAATTGAAAGTTACATGTAACTTTCAGTTGAAACTATACTGAATTATAGTTTATATCAGATAGAGTATGAACGTTACTTCAAATGGACGCATGTCATACAAAGGTATAGAAATTATTTGATGTTTTATAGCTTTGAAGAAATAAAAATATAGCTCAAAAAGTAGATTACTTACAAAATACACTGATTTTTTCTTTACACAAGGTTTTAATTAGATAATGTAATACTATATATTAAACAAATGCAAAATAAATACTTAATTGATACATATAAATACATCTATAGTTACTAAAAATATAAAAAATAAATACCACACCCACATATATTCTAATTCCTTTTAAAGCTATTCAGCAACAACTACTACAATAGGATTGCATCGAATACTACAAGACAAACCAAAATAATACAAATTGTAAAAGGTTAAAGAACTAAAAAGATTCAAATTTACTGTCTTTACATGAAAACTGAAAACTTAAGTCTAATTAAAAAAGTGTTAACATAAACACTTATTAGATCCATATTGTTAGATGATAAAGAAACTATAGATTAACGATCTAAAATAGTCCTAGTTTTACCAAAACTGTTTTGAGAAATTTACTTATTCTTGGACAGAAAATGCTCTTAATTGGACTGGTTTGTGACTAGGTTTTGTGTAATTTCCCATAATATTTCCTTTTCTGGAAGAATTCAAAGTGTTTTTAACAGTCTATGCTGAATAACAAGCAATTATTCTTCTACCAGATATAAATGCAAGACATTTTCTTCCAACAATAAACCTGTCTATATGTAGTGTCAAACTACAGCATAATATCTAATATCATCAGTTTCTTAGCTGTTTATGTCAGCTGGGAGTATTTCCACTGTTCTTAAAACTTATCACACTACAACACAATGAATTTAATTAATGTCCAATCTCTTTACGGTGGTCTCAGTACCCAAATCAATTGCACTAGGTCAGAAAAGCCATTGCTCACATTGCTTAATTCAAGTACTCTCAATAAGAATGTTACCATACTACTTTGTCTGATTGTTCTAAATTACAATGAATTTTGCCATATAAAATTATCAGCTCACATCAAACATTACTACTGGCATTTCAATGACTACTCCCTCTTAAGACTTCAGCCAAATTAATAACAACAGGTGCTACATGATGAAAGTTTTTTTGTTTTTTGTTGCTAGTACAGTTCATAAAACAAGACCAATGCTTTCCTAAAGAACTAGATATCATTTATCATTACTCTGGTTTTATTGCATCCCGAGTCATTAGGTATTTTTACGTAGTGCTACCTCATAATTCCTTTGACAAAAATGAATTGTATGCAAATTATTTTTTTTACAATTTAAACTTTCCAGCAAAAACAACTTGTGCAAGATAAGTTTGACTGCTATCCTGTGGCATGGACAAGCTTTTACATTTGGTCAGTCACAACCAAGTCATGCTCACATTGTACACAGCACTTTAGTCTGGTCCCTTTATATGAATGTATGCAAACTATTTTCACCATATCACAGTTACTCATACATAAATATTTCTATAAAAGCCATTTAATAATCATCAAATGCAGTTTAATAATGAACAACTTGTTTTGGGGCACCTATCAATTTACCTTACAAACAAGAGATACAAGAATGTAACTGAAAAGTTCCAATTATCTCAACCAAACTGCAATATTTTAACAGAAACACTAAGAAATTTAAAAGTGGATGCGAGAATAATATATAAAACTAAGAAGAAAACCACATATTATCTTTTTAAAATTTCTTTATTTTTCTGCTTGCCAGATAAAATTTGGTATTACCAAGATATGAAGTTATTCCTGCTGATAAGTTTAATTATGACAAATATACCAAAGTCTGTATAATCATGTGCATGCCAGATCACTCTAGAAATGTCACAATTCATTTTCTCAATTAAGGTGTTCATACTATCAAAGTGTATTCTGCATCCTAATACATTATAACTGGCACAAAACTAAAACGATAATGTAAAAACCATGAGAGATAGTAGTAAATAACCGTAACATAACAGCAACATTCTATTAGGCTTAACATTAGTGAAAAGAAAATACTACAATACTATTACTACACAAAATACACAGTGACAAGAAAAAATCATATCTAAAAAGATTAAATCATAAATTACTCCTCATAAAGGAACTAATTTCCACAGAAACAAAAAGAGAATCATATATTTTATACAATAAACTTTGGACATAGTACAGACATTTCACAAACTATTAAGGTGTTCAAGTATGCCTTCCATTATTCTCAATCAGCATGCCAAGCCTTTCCTTAAATGAAGCTACTGCAATTATCATCTGTTCTAAATTGTTCATCTATCCTTACAAAATCTTACAGATTGACATGCATTTCACTTAAAGTATCATTCTGGTAATGTTAAAAGAGAAATAGAAACAATGCTAGTTTATAGCACATTATGGTTTTGAAAAACCTGTACCATGAACAAACAATCCTGAATAAATGTTTGATTTTCAATGCGTCTTTGGTTAAATTTCATTCCTCTCCAAACCACATGGTATTTGATATAATATTGTTAAATATGGGGTTTTCTTCATAATTACCTTGCAATTATTAAGTATTTTACTTGTCAAATCAAAAAAGTTAGACTAATAAAAACCTAAACATACAGCAGTAATTTATTCACTTGTAAAAGCATTGGTAATTTCTGATACAATGTAATCCATTCATAATTTTAAAAAAGACTATCTCTCTTTCTCTCAATACTGGTATAATTTAAAAATATCTAACATATTTTTTCAAAAGCTTGCTCTCTATTAGGAAGAAGAAATGGAAGGAAATTTTCTGAAAATCTTTAAAATCTTAAGAAGGTATGTAATATGGTCTCCGGTATTTGTGAAACTGCCTCTCCTTTTTAGTAACACAAACATTATGTACCAATGTCACAAAAAAGCACCCTTCCAATGATAGTGAAGTTATAAAGCTAAACAATTCAACATATTTTCAATTTTGAAGACAAGAGCCTTCACTTATGGTGGGAAGGTTTACAAAGTTATACGTCTTAGTTTACCAACTTTACTTGAGATTGTTCCACAATTATAGGATAACTTACAAAACCAAACAACGTTATTTTTAGTATAACACCAAAGAACATGTTCTATCCAGACTTTGGAATAGACAGCCCTTACTGTAGTGCATTGAACACCTGTGGAATTTGTAATAAACCTTCTAAACAATGATGATAATGTGAACTTGTAATACATAGCAAAAGTAAACTTTGAATAAAATCAAATATTTTAAGCAACAAATACAAAAGAAAATTTAGTGAATTGCAACTCACAAATGACTTTCATAAGAATAGCCTACACAACTTTAACAGGAATGCCTACAAAAAAACTACACAGTAGCTATACTTTTAATATGTTTATAACACTTAATAATTTATTTCAATATTATATTTTATTTTACAATTACTGTGCCAATATTGGTGTAGAAATGCTCAAGAAATTCAAAGTATGTTTTAATCTAAAAACAAAAGTAGAGATTCATTTGTCACAATTAAATGCAAAAACATGGTGGCCTGAAGATAAAGGCGTGTGTTAGAAAAGGAAAAATTGGAACTCTGGATAAACAAAGCTCAAGACCTTAGAAGATTTGAACACAACAAATGTGGAACTAAAGAAATAATTAGCTTGCCTGATTACAAACATAAAGTTAGAAGTATCATAATAAAGTCTATTGAACCTTCATAATTTGTGTATGGTAAAAACAACTAGTCTATCTTACTATTTTTATTAACATTTCAAATTAAAACATGTTACACTATATACAAGTGACTTTTAAGCTATGAAAAACAGCTTTTTATTGTTAAATGCTATATATTTATCACCTCTGAAGCATTTACAGTTGCCTTGCTGATATGACCAACACCTACATAGTATAACCACAAAATTGTGCTTAAAAACTGTAGCTGAAACTACTCTTGGGGTGCACGAAAATTATATTATTTAGAAAATAGAGAAGTATGAAAAAAAATTTCCTTGGCATCAATATTCATTAATGTTATGAATAAAAAATTCTTTCAGGTATGATTTAAATACATATCAGTAACGTTGATACGGTTGTTCGATATAGACCAGCTGTGCAAGTTCTTGGCCTAGGCCTACCTGTTCCACATCTGGTGTTACAGAAACACTGTTTTCACTGGTTCCATATGTTCGACCATTGTTTGTACTGTATACATCAGCTCTGGAGGACTGCATCTTTAACACAGTGGGTACATAAGTCTGTAAGTATAGCAATGGTACCAGTAAAATAAATTAGTTGCTGCATGTATTATGAAAATATTCATTAAAAAAAAACTATAAATTATAGCATTTTGCTTGTATTAAAATTTTACACTTTATTTTTTAACCTTTTCACTGCAGCTGGGACGTATATTTCCCAGTGCTCCCATCCCCTCACACTGCGACTGAGACAAATGTTTCCTATTGACTTTCAAAATTGTCACTCGGGAGTAAAATGAGTTGGAAAGTATTTATTAGCATACCACCTAATGTTAATATTTGGTTTACCTCAATGTTTTCCACTCAGGCCTTCAGTAACCAACAATATGATTAAGCAGAATGTATGACAACTGCATGCTGACTTTGCCCACATCGCTAGAGTGGCAAGTAGTAACTCTAATTACTATGTAAATATGCTTGATGCCCTTGACTCAGATAGCTTAGAAGATAGTGAAAATGAGTCAGGTGGTGTTCAAATGCATGATGATGAAGAGGCAATGAGACAAGAGGATGCTAGCTCTCCATCTAGTGATGATAGTCAAAATGATGAACCTGGACCCAGCAGGGGAAGGTGTAAACAGTATCAACAATGGGAAACATTTGTCCCAGTCACAATTTTATGGGGTGGGAGCACTGGGAATTATATGTTCAAGCTGCAGTGAATGCATTAATTGATTAATTATTATTAGTTAGAGATACACATATTATGAACCAGTGACAGATTCAAGATTGTAAGTTTGATAAAAAAAATAAAGCTTTGGAACAAGATATATTATATGCCCCCCCCCCCTCCGAAAAAAAAATCCCTGACAATTCTAATGTACAAGGTGTCTGAAAAGTCTGGAGCCATGGGTGAGTGCAGCTTTTGTTAAATTTCTGATATTTGACTGATTATGACAGTGTTAAAGCATGAGAAATTCGAGTTCATCCTGCTTTTAATCCAAACTTGTTTCAGACTACAGTAACTAATGTTTTCTCTCACTTCACTGAATGTTCTTCTACCTACACACAAGTGAGATGAAATGTTTTTACTATGCCAAAAATTTCAGCTTCATTTACACAGTTCAAAACTTTCTGTACTATGTTTTCTTTAACAAATCATGTGTGGTAACTTCCACACTTACAAAACAAATCTTAAAAACTTTGCTAAAGACTGAACATATGCAAATGTATATCTACATATAATATTATGTGGCAGGCATTAATAAAATCTTTAATAGTTTGCTACCAAAACTCAGTCAACATACCAGATATGTATATAATAATAATAATAAATTGTAATCTTTCAAACTGATTTTATTACTAAAGTTACAATTATTGTGTAGATACAAGTAGAAAAACAATGAAAGTAATATAAATTTATCAGTAGTGTTAAGAGCAGTCTGGTTTGTGTGTTAAATTACATCTGTTTTAAAGCTTAATCATGGCATGTTTTAAATAAAAATATTATTACCCTTATCTTAAGAGTAAAACATGTTTTCATTATTTAATTTATAGAAGATCATTGAGGGAATATTGCATATTTTAAAAACAAGCAATGGCAATTGTGTGGTGATATTTAGTTGACATTAGCAGTACACCCTCAAAGTAGAAAATATCCATAAAGCTCGAGAGAAAATGTATTTTTTTGCAAAGTTGCAAATGGTGCCCTTCATAAGATATCTATCATATTAAACTAAGCGTAATTTGAAAACTACTTAAAAAACTAAAATAACAAAAAAGAAAAAGAGAAAATGAATACAACATTAGAATAATGCAGTGGCTTAAAAAGTTAAGATGGCAAGCACATTCCAGTTTTTTTTTTTATTGTTGTTGCTTTTTACTTTTATGGTGTACTAATTGATTAATTGAGTGTAATCGATTATAAGCCCATCAATTAATCAATTAGCAAATACCACTTACCACCCAGCTCTAGTTCTCTCATCTTATTTACATTTTCACTTGAATTACTTTATTTTTTCAGTAGCTATATTTGTACATTCCTAAATGAGTATAATAATTTTTTTTGATACATTTAATATCAAAATTTTTCTCTCACAAGTTTTAAGTGTTTTTCAAGCAACTAACCTAACCACACCATAAACACCATTTCCTTATCTTTATTCATTTCAATAAAAACATAATCTTCAGGTATTATCTAAAATCAATTTATAACCACATTGTTAGTTCTTGTCAAACGAAATTTATACAGATGCATCTTCTATCATTAGTGACATAGTCTAACCAAGGTAAATTACCTATCTGTGTTAATTTAAAAAAATACTGGTGTATAATACGCATGTTAAACAAGTACAGCCAGTTTAAAATACAACTATATCTACTTATGATTTACAATAAACTGGGAAAACTAAACACAAAAACACTGAAGACAGAACTATGCACCAGTCACAACACAAATGCAACTGATGTAATTTTTTTTGGCTTGGAGCACATTTTTGTTATAATTTACACTTTTTTTCAATCACGCATAATTCATTCAAAGTAAGCTTTATAACAATGTATCAAGGTTTCAGATGATGGTGTCTTTAAGGACTGTCAGTGTCAAATTCAACATGTATATATCTTGTGCCAAACAGTTTCACACATATCTTCTTAAAGCTGAAATATTTTGTATGAAGTTTACACATTTTTTTATGTTGTAATACAATTCTTTCTCAATCAGAACATTTTCTTTTTATATAGGATTATAAAATAATGTAATTTTTGAATGTAATAAAATTACTACATTTTCAAATGTGTAAAATGATTAAGTTGTAATTCTTCAGTGATAATGCTGGTGTTCCACTAATGGACAGGACAACATCAGTAATGAACTAGTTTTTGGATAATACACCCTATGTATCAATGTATTTTCATTCCACAGAAAAGCAGTGATTTTTTCATGTACTTTGAAATACTTTTAGAAGAGATGAAACTGGTGTCCTTACTCATCGAATAGCTATCAAGCTGAAATGCCACAAACCTGAGAATGGAAACTATAGCATTCAAGTATGTACGATTCAGTGAAAATTTTAACACAAATAAGAAGTACTTCTCCGAAGAGAAGAACCAGAGGAAGGAGTGATAAATCCTACAAACATGCCAAGTTTACATCATTTCTCAGTTTCATGAGTAAACAACAAAAGGCAATTAAATCAAAGTAGGAATCTTTTTCAAGTTATTTTCACAACTAGTGTTTTGAAAAAGCACTAAAGGATCGTGTAATGTTTATTTTTTTGCTGAACTTTGCACAAAGTTACTCAAGGGTTATCTGCAGTAGCCATCCCTAATTTTGAAGTAATAGATCAGAAGAAAGACAGCTAGCAACACCCCAACCATCAATTCTTGGGCTACTTTTTACCAACAAATAGTGGGATTGGCTTTCACATTATAATAAACCCATGACTGAAAGAATGTGCATATTTAATGACAGAATTCAAACCCACAAGCTGCAGGTTCAAAATCAAGTGCCCTAATTATCAGGATATACCACGTTTCACTAAAAGTGCAGCAGCCAAGTATGTCACACTGACATACCTGATAGTGAAAGGTTAATTAACTATTAACTTCATAAAATACTGACATAAGAGTCAATTAACTATATGAAATTTTATATACACAGAATAAACTCTATACCTTTAAGAACCTAGAACAATAAATACTGCAAAATAAAAACCTCTAGACACAGTACTTGAATCACCATAGATAATATTTTCAACAATTTCACATCATAATAAATATTAAGCAAATATAACTGAGAAACAAAAGACAATGTTACATAAGTTTTAAAATTGAATCTCAGTTACTTTAAACCACTATCTGAAACAAAGAAATTTTACTAAAAATTCCATAATTTATGAGAGACTGTTTTTGTGAATTAAGCACAAAGCTACACAATGGGCTATCTGTGCTTTGCCCACCACGGGTATCGAAACCCAGATTCTAGCGTTGTAACTCCACAGACATACCGCTGTACCACTGGGGGGCCATCTATAATTTATGAAGCAATCACAATAAATAAATTGCAATTAACACAGATTTTAAAATAAATGATACACTACGAATATATCTAGTACTAAATATTTTTCTCTTTAAAGAATGTGATTCACTTACTTGAGGTTCTTCTGTTGGGGAATGGTTAGTGATCATAGTGTGAGAAATTGGTCTTCTTATCAGCTTCTGTATAATAAAAGCAAAATATAAATTACTTGTGTTTTGCTTAAAATATAGCAGCACTGACATCCACTTACCTGACAAAAATAATACAGACTCTTCATCACCCATCTATGATGTCCTAAGTTTAATGTAAATTACTCATTATAGTATAGATACTATTAAGGAACAATCTAATTTCTGTAGCCTTCAATCTTCTTTGTTTATGGAGATATAAACCAAAAAGTCAAACCCATCTGCTACACCCTCCTATTACATCCTTTCTTTTAAAATTGCCAGTAATTCTTTTAGACATTTGCTATTACATCATTTATAACCAATAAAAATACAAAGTTTTAATTTACCAAATGATGTAAGATGCTTTCTTGTTCTCAGAAAAGATTTTTTTTAGCTATTTCAACTACAGTTTGAAAGTTGTTATCGCCAAGTTCAGATCAAACATCTAAAGAAATTATTTTAAGGCACTTATGCCTTAGTTAGAATGGCAGTTAAATTATAATAATTATAGAACATTTGCTCTTTGCATGTTATTATTTTGTGTTTTTAAGTGCATATCTGAAGTCAATAAAACTAGTTTGATGTATTAGTACTATCATTACAAAAAAGTAGACTTAAGTTTCATTGGCTGGCCCCATGATGGAAAACTATGGAGTGTGCCCCTGAAGCATATAAATGATATCTGAAAGTACAAGTTCAAAAATAAAGAAGTTTCAAAAACTACCTTACAAATATTAATACTATCAAGTAATAAATATAGTGTAGCAACAATTACCACAGGAAAAATGACATGAATAATATGTACACAAAAGGTTAGAGTGGGAAGCTGCATCAGTGTGCAGGCTACAAAAGGAACAAGTAGAGGTTCATTCTACATTTAAAAGTAAATAGAAAGAGAGGATACACAGTTGAAATGTTGTGTATTTCGCTCTCTTTCTTCTTACTTTTCAGCATGGAATTAACCTCTTACGTACACAAATAGTTTTGAATTCAAACAATTTTAAACAAATCGGCAAAAGTCTTCTCATTCTAGACATGGGAAATCTAATATTTTTTTTTCTGGGTAATGGCTGTTGGCTGTCTCAAAACACCACACCTCACTGTTTACTGGCAGGGATGTCGAGAGCCAGTCCAGGCCCCAGGGTCAGTAACATCATTGGGCTCCCCCTTTCATTCTATTTATTAACTTTTGTTGATTTTTCATAAAATAAATTTAGGTGACAAATTTCTTCATGAATCAATGAAAAAAAGCAGTAGCCATTTCAGTTCATTAAGTAGTATGCATTTCTACTGAGCTTTGGGATATCCTACTGCCAGGTCCCCCCAACAGACCCCGACCCCGGAGAAGCTGCCGCCCTTGCCACCCCCTATCATCAGCCCTATTTACTGGCAATAATTTGAAGCCTGTATATTGTGAAACAAGGTACTTGTCCCTCAAACCACTGATTGTTTTGCATTATTTGATAATGGAAGAAAGTTGATCAGTCATCCCTGAACCTGTTTAATATTTCATTCCCCCCTACTAACTTCATTAAACCTACATTGTATTTATTGTTTTATCTCTCTGTGTACATTATTTTTGCCACTAGCTAAAGAAGAGATTTGATTAATTTAGCAAAAAATAGCCACTTACACTGTTTAACCCTATCACCCCAGGTATCCTTTACTGTGCATGACACAAGGTTTTAGTGTTTTACATTCAAACTTTTATTAAACTACTTTTTATTTATGTTATACCAATTAGAATAGCATAAAATCTTAGCTAATCTTGACCGAGCCCATATTGAGAGAGTTAAACACCACTAGTGCAATGTTTAAATATTTATTTTATTAAATTCTTCAAGGGACAAGTAAAACAACTGAAAGGGCAAAACAGCTTGCTTGAAAAGCAGATCACTGTTCTATCAAAAGACTTGAAAGCTTCTTTAGCCACAATATAGGAGAGACATAAGTTCTTCCTGCTGCCCCAAAATGTGTAAGATCATGCTTGGAGAGAGGTATGGTGAGGCCTTCAAGTTCATCCTATTTTCACATGGCACTGGCAGGAGGTGTATAGATACATTCTCTGCTGACATAAAAATGGAAATGATAACACACATCCAGAACAGTCCAACATTTGCCATACAGCTTCTGGGATTGGAACAATACTGTATTGAAGAGTAAAAGTGTGAAGAGTTTCTGTTTTACTAAGCACTGGAAGGGAGAGCTACACTAAAAGCCATCTTCTCTCTTGTTAACAAATTTTTCACCACAAACAGTCTTTTGTAGACTAATTGTGTTTGGGTATGCACTGATGGGACAACTGTATTTATGAGAAACAGGAAATGGTTCAAAATCAAAGTAAGTGTTCTTGCTCTAGGTGTAACATTTACACATTTCATCATACACAGGGAAGCACTAGCTTCAAAGCAATTTCAGCCCAAAGCAAACAAAGTACTACAAGGTGCTGTGAGTGTTGTGAACATTGTAAAATCAAGAGCTTTCAACAGAATGGTGCTTCACATTCTATGTGGAGAAATGGGATCCACATAAGGAGGAAGAACAAACAGAATGAGAAAGAATGGCGGCTACACGTTTAAAGAATCTGGAACGTCTTGCAAGGGATGAGTGACGTTGAAGGAGAAAGGATCATGCCAGATGTAGAGGAGGAAAGGAGAGAACCAGAGAAGGTTCAATAGAAAAAACCACAGCTGAGCTGGCCAGCATGGAATTATCAGTAGGACTCATCACAGAGTATCCTTAATGAAGGAGATCCCACAAAGAAGAAAAAAGGTTGGACCAGTTCTGACTGAATTGCATTCTGAATGCAAGAATTGAGGAATGAAGAACAGGGGGCCAAAAAATAAGAAGTATGGTGTTTAGATAAGTGACAAAAGCATCTAAAAGAGGAATGCCCAGATGAAAGCACAGCCATTGGAACACCAGAGGATCAAAGGACCACTCCAAAGGTATTACCTTGTCTGGCCTCAAGAGATAATCTGTGATGTATTTGTAACGAATGGGCCCAGAAAAGAAGGTTGAGAGTGTGGAAACAAAGAGAATGAGACTGAGTGTTCTTTGGCAGTACGTATGGGAGACTACTGTAGATTTGACTGTTTGGATCGCTAGATGTTCACGAACCATCACAAGAAAATGATCCAAAGATCAATGTACTGCCAAAAGCACTTAGAGATGGATATGAAGGGATGATTTGTCATGGGACCATCAACCCAAATTCACCTGAGAGTCAAGACATGCCCTCCCCCATCTTATCATGGAGGCATCTGGAAACAGATGGAGACACAGATGAGAACACCCTCTATGGTTTTGATTGTATCAAATCACCAGGTAAAGCTTTTAAATAAGGAAGGAGGAAAGATAATGATGAAGGACAAAGGATCCCAAGCAAGGATCCAATGATCATGCAGAGTCCATTGTAGATGTCACAAATGAGCATGATCCAAGAATATGGGATTCCATGGAAGCCCAAGTTTCCAAAAGAGAGAGAACCTCCGAAACAATGAGAGAAAGAGAGGAAATGGCATGGAAAACTAACAGCTCATGTCCCTCAAAATAAAAGGAGAAGGCTAGGCCTTGTGGAGATGCAAACTGAAAAATATGGGAATAAAATTCTAGAGAAGGATAAGAAACCTGTATGATGCCCTCTTTAGCCATTAGGTCCATCACTGGACTGACATTGACAAGAAACAAGATCAGTGCCCAACAATCAGCTGCAAATGGAAAGCAAAGGTGCATAAACTGAACTAAATAAGCCCAACTGACCCTGAGCTTATAGGATAGTCACCAGCAAGACTGAAATCACTGAAGTCTACAAGCAGAGGGAGAACAGAGGAATGGGAAGTGGGAACAGGAAGAGTATAGGACACAGGAGGACAGGAGACAGAAAGAGGCAAAGAAGGTGCACAGGAAACCAGTGGGGACAGGAAAGAGCATTGGCATGCATCCCAAACATGCAACTCCAGAGAAACAAGCACTCAACTAAAATCACAATGGCAGATGAAAGGAGCCAGATGAAAGCATATGAGATAAAAAGGAGGCAAAAGCACTTGAGTAACAAAGGCACCATGCCCCAATAAACCCTAGCAACAGATTAATCAAATACGAAGTGATAAGGCTGAGGAAGATAAACATGTCATCACAGAGAAGATTAATGAATGACCATGGAAAGAAGGTGAGAAAAATTAAGCCAAAGAAAGACGAACAAAAGACAAAGGATCTGACTGAAGACTCCAGAGTTATGGAGTCAAAGAAAGGTAATACAGCATGAAATTATACCTAGTCATATGAGGTAACAAAGGAAGGAGAACAAGTCATGCATGCAACAAAGTTGTGGTAAAAGTAATCAACTATAGACTTGTATATCTGGAGAGGAAGTAAAAAACATAAAATAAGAATCATACCTAATAAACCCAGCTACAAAATTACAAAAAAAAAGGCTGAGGTAGATTCAAGACAGCATTGGTATAAGATTAGAGAAAAGTAGGTGGTGGGACAAAAAAAATGGCAAAATCCCTTCCATCACAAAGGAGAAACATAGGTGGAGGTATGTCATATACAAAATAAGGTCCAGGCCACATGAAAGACTCCACCATCTGCCACACAAAAGCCATCACTTCCTCAACAGTCAATGCCAATTTAAGTGTTAGGCTAGCATGAACAATGTCTTGTTATCTCACACCAAACAAAGCGGATGTTACTGAGACTCATGAAATAATAATGAAGAAATAAAAGGCTATAAAATCTATAAATGAAGAAAATGTTGGAAAATGAAAATTCAACAATAAATAGTTCCAAAACAGGCCTTAGTAGATAATTCTACAAAAAAAAAACACCTGTATTTGAAAAGTTTGGGAGCAGAAAAAAAAGACATCATTATGCATAAATGCCAAATCAAGAAATGATTATTGAACAATCAGTATTGAGAGAGTCAGCTGCACTAGGAGGGTGTGTTGCACTCCTATTTGTAGAGAGTTGTTGCATGCTACAGTGCAGCAATAGCACATGGGAGCCTCAAGGCTAGTGGCAAGCAAAACAACTGCACATAAAGAAGGCAGCACAAAATTGGAAAAAGCTTAATATATGAGTAGAAGTAAGGTATCATCACAGAACTTATGATTTATTTTGTATTTTTTTATGTTGGTTAAATGGTCAGTCAAATCATACAGCATTATGCTAGAGAAAATAAATAAAATATGAAATTTGACTGGAAAAAAACTTGAAATATTCATTTTGAAGGTTTTAGAGGTTATACAAATTAAATTTGAAATTTGCAAGATAAAAAAGTATTTTTAATCTTAAAATGAAAATCACCTTGCATTTAGACTAGCCAGAGTCTGAGTTGTGTTCTGATTCTATACATTCACAGACAAATCTTTAATAAAAAATACTTAATTTAAAAAGTCTGAATTTTTTAATACAAAAAATGTTTACCAAAAACTTGTCAAATCTGTGAAGATACACTTACTACACGAAAAGTTATAGTACGTATACTTTCATAGTGATCTGGTGGTTACAGAATCAGTCATGGGTACATATATGTCTCCCTCTAGAACCTTGATAAGTGAATTTGTACCCACACAAGAAAGGGTATTCCCCTTCATAAAAAGACATTTCAATTCTACCTGAGGTTTCTTTATGATCAGTTAGAATGGGATATGTTTATAACCACACCCACTATGCACAAACAGTTATCTATATACTACTAAAACTCTGAGATTGTTTGTTGTGTGTGTGCTTGTCTGTAATTAAATACAGCAAAAACGGTGCACAATAGCACCATATTTGTAATAAAATGAGAATAGAAATAGAATAAAACAAGTTTCGTTAAAATCAGGCCAAGGGTTACCGAGTTAGCGCCATTTTTCGGGTCATTTTTCGTAAATTCCATTATTATAAAACTTCGTTTTCCACCTGATGAATCACTTTAAAATATCTTCCATACAACAATATATGCACAACAGAAACTAAATGATGATATGAAAATGTGTTATAACGGCACTTAGAAAGAACAACAATAAAATGGATATACAACATTATTGACTATTTGCAGATAGTAACTATGGAGACAAGGTAATAGAATAAAAATGAAGTCGGGAACAACAACAAAATTTTATAAACGAAAACCTCTAGCCAAGCATTATTATTTCCCTGTCAATGTTTCCATCTTCATTAAAAGACGTAAGATAACAAAAACAAGATCTTGAAGAATCTATCTATATACTACTAAAACTCAGAGATTGTTTGTTTGCTTATTTTCTCAGTCAAAAAATAATTCACACTACCGTTCGTGGTAATTACAAAACTTCTTACTTCACTTTTTTGAAAAATGAAATGATCTTTCAATCAAATATCTTTTCTTGAATTATAAATAACATGAATGGATTGAATATATTTAATTAAATGATCTCAAAATAAGCCTTCATTTCGGTGCAATATTGAAATTAGCTTGAATTCTTCATAACCTCTGAATAGTGGTTGACCCAACAGGTCACGGTGGTCTAGTCTAAACTAGAAATAGGAATTCTCTCTACATACGTAGAAAAGTGCTCTTTCTCAAAAACAAAAAATTACAATGCAAGGAAAGAAATACAGAGTTATTATTCAATATCTGAGTTTAATAATTTTTGTGGTTTGGATATATATTTAGTTAGCTATTGTTAACTTCCGATCATAGCAAGTTACTTACGCTGATCAGAATTAAAAATTAATCCAGTAACAAATATATATATGGTAATTCAATTAATATTCAATGTAAACAAACAAAAAACCAGCAGTCTGGCATTAAATAATTTTTCTCTATTCATGCAGGTTACTTGCACAACACATCTATAACTTAAATGTATACAAGCACAAATTCAATCAACTTAGCGATGAGCGAGTTTTCTTTATATATATACACACACACACACACAGAAACACACACTCAAACTTTTATATTGTAATATGCTCTCCATTCAACTTTTGACATGAATAAACATCATTAATCCGGAGATTGAAACTTCCTTCGTAATTTTTCTCAATTAGTAGTAACAGTTAAATAAAATATGGATTCTTTTAGTTATTAAACCCATAAGAAAATGGTTATACTATCATGATTTGGTAAAACATTTTAGAAACTTTATTATTAATTTTACCTTGTAGGTTATGGGGCTCAGTTCTTTAAACCAGTGGAAGAAAACTTGCCCAAAGAACACCATTAGAGTCAAGACAAACACAGACAGGGACACTATTGTAATATTACTCCACCCTGAAAGGTAAGAAAAACATCAATTCCATGTCAGTTTAAATTCATTTTACAAACGACAATTTGATACAGAGAAAAGAAACATCTAAATAATAAACCTGTCTTGATTTATGTTAATTCATTCTTCCATCCTAACTTTTGGGTTTTATAAAACAATTACACTTTTGAATGTTCTGAATAATTTATATACTATAAACTCACTATTTTCCTGCTGGGTAACTTGAAAGGTATATATATACATATTAAAGATTATTGTATTCAACATTATTTAACACAATACCAGCTATTGGATTAAACTACACAAGAAAGGTAAATACAATACAGCTACTGTGTTTTTGATGAATAAAGTTAATTTAAGTAAAAAATAAATTATAAATAATTGTTGTGAGAATAGTGTTATTAATCCCTTCCTTAAATCTGATTTATATATATACACACACACACACACACACATAATTAATAAGAATTATATTTCAATAACTTAATCTAGTTCCCACCATAACAGTGTTGCTGCTCATGCAATGTGATACAGTAGTCCCTCTTAGATTCGACCAATCCTATCTGTCATGATAAAAAAGTCGCATCTGACAGAAAGTCATTATTCAAAGGATTAATAGCCAAATAAACAATGATCGAATTCAAGCTACGGCAGTTGATATTCCCAGCGATTGAGAAGAATAGTTTATATACTGTATAGGTAGTCAGATAATGTAGCAAATTGATACACTGTATAATAATACTTATGGTGGATAACAGTTCAATAAAGATAACTTAAAATTATTTTGTACTTTATGTAAAATAATTTATTCATCAATCCCATTTATTTCAAAAAGATCCACGTATCACGTTTTTATTACATATTACATATTTATAAAATATTACAAACTGACACAAGTTTCATAAAAAATTGTTCATCTTTGTTTGTTTTGCACATTTAACGGAGTCACTTTGAATGTTCATGAGTCTGGTAGTTATAACAAGAAGTGTTTCATTGTTAGTTTTCAGCACACAATTTTAGAATCAATTTATAAAATAATAAATGTCCAGAATTCTACATCAGAGAAACCGAAAGGAAATTGAAAACCAGATTTTCTGAACATAATAAAAACATATCTCACTTGTATTCACCACCATTGTAATTAAAGAAATCCACAGTATATCTATACAAAAAGCTGTAATTTTAAACAAAGAACCAAACATCGAAAGCTACATATTTTAATTGAACAAAACAGCCCCACCTCAAACCAAAATTTCATCTTGAAACTTGGATCCTTTGATCCCAGCTCTGAAAAGGGACCATTCCACAAATTTAAAAGATCCAGTAAAAAAAAATAAGAATAAATATCTGAACTAAATTATTGCTAGACTCTCGCCAATATCTAATAAGGTAATCCTCTCTGAATACAAATACTACATAAAATGTAATATGTTGCATTAAAACAATTTCAAGTTGACTAAAAATTGTCTAATTTCTATGTTTCATTTTTTTAATTGCTTTCGTCACAACTTTGGTCTATATCAATGTCCACGTAACATTTCTATAGCAACACTTTGAGCCTTCTTCTTCATAGCGACTTCCTGTTCTCAGCTTGAGACATTCGCAACTTTCCCGGATACCTTGAGGCATTTCAATAGCCATGCTTACTGCACAGATTAGTCAAGCCTGTCACTCACCAACCCATGATTTAATAATCTTCACACCTTTTTAGTAAATACTAATCAAGTTACTTAACGTCTAGGCCACTAGCTCAAAATCTACTACTATCACTAAAAGAATAAATCTCAATTCCACAAGCGGGGCAAAGATAAACAACAGCTTCTGACTGCCTGTGGTTACCTTCCAGGACCTGAAAGTTTTTAAAATAAAATATCTACGTGTATGTACCAAGGAGTTTGACTTGAACACGCCAGGGTACCAAGATACATATACTAAACTGTGAAGCAATCTCCGGTCATGTGACCTCTTTATTCCATACTGTATACATCGTTTTCATGTGTCTCTGCAAATTACATCATTGATATGAAGAAAAGTAATTACAGACAGGTTGTTATTCAAAAATCATGGTTCTATGTCGCATCTGTGAGGAAGTCGTTCGTGGGAAGTCTGACCGATGTAAAATCATTCCGTGCACAGAAAAAAAGTCGTATTTAAAAGGAAGTCATTATTGGGTGGAGTCGTATCCACCAGGGACTACTGTAATATAAACAGCATCTCAACCACTACAATTTCTGTCATCTCTCAAATGGCTTGATGAGCCCTATTATCGGGCACAAGACTTCAACTGTACTATATACAGCAGATATAGTGTAGATTATAAATTGTTATACTTCTTCACTTTTACTCATAAGTTGTTAGAATTAGTAAAGTTAGATAGTAGAACTTGAAGTTCAAGAAATTATCATTAAGTGGACTGGACTTTGCCTTTTTCTTTATACTTACCAAAAAAAAAGGCAGAACAATAGTATAAGCTGCCATACATTTAGCTTAAACAAGTATAATATGTATTGTTGAAACAGAGAACTAAACTTCTACCCAAAAATTCCTCACCTGTTCTGAGAAATGAAAAGAAGAAAAGAGAAACTTGTTGCAAAATTAAACAGAAAACAACATAATTGATTGCTGATGCATGAATACTTTGGTTTATTTTAGAAGAACCATATGCAAAGTAAATATTGTAGCGATCCACACAGTGTTTGAAACACATGTACACGAGTCCTATAAAAAGAAAAAAAAAAAATTATAAATTACAGTTATAAAAAGGTTTTAACTTCTTTACCAAATCAAAAAATTAATATTTGCTAAAATCCTAGTATTATAAAAGTTTTGTCTTAGTCTCCTTGATGGTAGTTTGAAGGACTTTTAAAGTAATTAAATAAAGTAAAACAATTACATCATTTTATTTTCTGCAATTGTGTTTACATTTTTTTTATAGGTAAAGACAACTCTGTAAGTCAATACAAGAGCTACTACTGAAAGATTAAATTTTAACAATATTAATACACCTTAAACAATATCCATAATACATGTCTCACAAAAGCAAATGTATCATATTCCTATAACTCTCTCTCTTGTAGTAAGTCAATTACCAGTTTTGAACGAGGTGTGAAGGAAGATCCCTACAGGTCTGTCTTTTGTTATGTTTTCTGCCACAACTATCCACTACCAAGGACACACACTGGGCTTAAAAACTTTTCTTGCTTTGCCAACTTGTGAGTTTTACATCTGAATACTTATATTTAATGATTAATGCTTTTTGAAAACAGGTCAATAACAACAAAAGTCACAAACTAAAGATTATTATGTTTTTTTTCTCTGAATATTAGCTATATATCTTACCAAATGGCACAATTAGAGGGCATGGTAGACTGTATATAATGACTGTTGCAAAAATAAGCAAAATCCATGCATACTGTACTCCAAACTCAAACTCCCACAGTATTGCCTGCAAGAAAGCAACATTCACAATGTCTAGTCAAATGGTTAAAAACATAAATTTAACACTAAGGTATTATTACCATGACAAAGTAAAAGAATTATAGTATATATTTGTAAGTGTAACTCAATATAAATGTGGTACATGTATAAATATATTAATACATTCGTCTTACATGTAGTTGTTACATTTACATTTAATTTATTATGCACATATTTACATCATTGCCACTGTTGTACTATGTACTTTAAATTTAGTTATTTTTCAAATAAATATCTGCAATTAATGGATAATGAGATTTTTTACAAATGAAATGCTATAGCTACCAATGTAATTTTATGAAATTTTTATTAAGCACATTGTTTTTACATGTATATATTTGTGTGTGTAAAAGATTAGTTTGGTGAAATAGTTCTATTTATTTGTTAAATGCACTTTCCGATAACCAAGTTAGACTCAGTTTACTTATTGCATATTGACATATCTTATATTCACAAAGATTAACAAAAGGTTCAATTAACAATCCAAAATGTCTATCTGTTAGCCTTCATTTTCATGACATAGGATGATACGTCTACATATGCTACGTGACATCCTCCTAAGCATATTAGGGGTGACCTTAGCAAAAACTTTCAACAATTTTTTGTTTAAAGCATCAGTTATTTCATATTGTTCCTTTTCCATAACCTTTTTTGTTAAAACCCCACTAAAACACGAAAAAATAAGTTGTTAACATGAGCTTTAAATAAGGGTGTGCCCAGACTTTTTGCCCACACTGTAAGTTGTAATTTTCAAAACCAATAGCTATGATTGATTGAATGTTCTTATTTGGACTATAGAAGTGGCTTTATACATTGCTAGTTACATCTATTTTCTTAGTTGTACTTCACTTTAGTTTGGTGGTTGCTGAAATAGGGTATGCCCAATGCTCTATGTGCTATTACTACAGTTATCTATCTTTAGGTTTTGTTGTCTTTTTTATAATTAATTTTATTCCTGTAACTTTATTAATACACTGAACACATGACCTGAATTTTTATTTTAAGAAATTTTATACACAGAAGTATGAAAATTTTTACGAACCTTTCTAATGCCAACTTGTTCAGCAACAGATCGAGAAAAGCACAAGTGAATGGCATACATAAATAGTTCTGGAAAGCGAATGATTTCTAGTGCTGTTCCAACAAATCCAGATGTTATCACATAATTAACAAAAAATGCTCCATTGTCTGGCAAAAAGATACACCTGTGAAAAAACAAGTAATTTTACTTGCATAATGAGCAAAATTAATTTATTCTTAAAGTAAACATACATGTCATGTGAACACGCAAATATTGTATGGTATATGTACAATATGTGCCAACTTTTCCAAACTACTGTAAAAACTATATTAATCTAGTAGCTAATATTTTAAAGAACTTTCTGAAATATTTATGAAGTCATTGTTGCTCATTACTCAACTGTTTAGTAGTATAAAACATGCATAATTTCAAATCAAGATTCTACATTAGTAAGACTAACTCTGGATCAAATGTTTGTCATACTTTTGCTTGCTTTCTTCGTAACTTGATAAAAGCAAACCCAAGCTTACAGAAAGGTAAATTCTGACCCAATCCCACTGGCAGACTCTTTTAAAAGTGAATAATAAAGAAACTACAAACTAATGAAACCGTAAAAGATCACTGTGTTAATAATAACGAGAAAAAAAAACACAAGTTTAATACAACTATGAGTCTAGAATATTCAGTATTTATTACGCATTATTTAGTTACACTAAGAATGACAGTAGACACAAGCATAATATAGCAAAATAAAAAGTTTAAAACATTTAATGATATTTCTAAAAAACATTAAACTCAGACTTTAATGTAAAATTACTGCAAGGTGCTCAGAAAGAAAAAATAATCAAGTTAAAATAGATTTCAAGATGGATTATTAAACAAATTTATTTTCAAAATATCTTTCTCTTAATACCACTACTTGAGTTTTATAGATAATGAAATATTTGTAGAATATATACTTACTCCCATCGGTAAGTTTCATTCTGTGGCCTAACTGCCCATTCCAAGAAAGCTTTTGCACTACAACAACAAAAAACACCTCCTTGCATAATATTTTTAAAAGTGCAATAAATGGAATAAAATAGAGAATAACGATGTAAATTTTAACTTCATGTATAGATTTAGAACTTACATATGTATTACCTAAACACAAAAATGACAACCATAAATTGCTTTGAGAACTGGAAGTGTGTGTACCAGTTCTTCAGAGTCATGTTTTCTGGAAAAAATAAAAAAATCCAAATACAAGACTGACCTTTCCCATATTAATTTGATGTGTTAAGTATATCTGGGGAAGTGATCATTTCTAGTAATATATAGGAAAACCTAGAGTGACCTCTTTGTATTAATTTAAAGTCTTTGTAGATTTAATACTTCTAACTTTCAATATAGTGTGAATATCTTCCCAAACTTTGGCAGTCGTTCAGTTAACATTATAAGTCTGTCACATACAAAAAATCTTATTTTTTAGTGTAATATTTTTAATAAAATAAAGATTTGTACATGAATACATTGAGTATTTGTTTTGAATTGTCCGTGTACAAAGTAATTTTCATGTTAAGATTAAAAATAACTTTCCTCATTTCAAAAATCTCAAATTTCCTTTGTGTAATCCTTAAAATCTCCTAAATACATTTCAAACATTTTCTTTCAATAAAACTTTATATTTTAACTGTTAGTTTCTCTACCCTACCTCAAAATGGGATTGGTCAATTTGACCCAACCTCGTAACCACCACTTTTTTTCTTTCTAGAATGATTTCAAATTGTAACATGAAATTACATTCGTTTCTTCTAAGTAGCTCTAAGTTTGTAACAGTATACATCTGTTTATAATTAAATTTTATTATTTTATTGCCCTTTGAACTGTGTTTAATTACTATACATGCCACTATAAGTTGTAAATCACTCAGGGAATGTGTAGCTCACGTTACGCTAACAAATTACATTACCCATGAGCGGCTCACATGTGTGCCTCATGAAATATTTTTATCATAACATTATTATTATTTATTTTACCTAATCTAATCTTAACAAACCTAAAAGGATCCCTATTTTTACATTTTAGTTACTTTTATAATTATACGTAAAAAACAAACATGAAAAAGAAGAAATAAAATACTTAACCAATTTTCTTTTTTCTTGTTGTTGGGTTTTGAAGAGAGTTAACCCTAATTTTTTATATTATAGAAAGTAATGCACTTAATCATTCTTATTTAATTAAATAATGCACCAAAGAATATAGACTAATAACGTGCAAAGAGTAGACAAATTCTCTTACCTCTCAAAATTTTCCTGGCTTTCTAACTGTGCGACAAGAGCCGTTAGAAATTTATCCAAGCTAGTCATTAAATTTCTCAGGGGAACGAAGTTTACACTCTGAGCGAAATTGACGACTATCTGTTCAGAACATAACGTTATACAATATGACATTTGATAGATGAAAATCTTGTCTTTCTATTCGTTATAGGTAATATATAATGAAATGTAAGAGAGAATTATCAACGTATTCTGAAAGAGAGGATGCGACAGGTGGGTGTAGTAGGAGGGGTCTGATTTTCTATTCAATAGCTCTGTAACCAACCAAAATTGAAGCCTATAAAAATTATGGTTATCTGAGCAATGACGATTCTATAGTGAGTAATTTACTTTAATTTTGTACTTTTTCCAAGGGTTAGTGGAAAAATGGAAAAGACAAGATGCTTAGAGAAAATGTGTCACGAGTATCACACTAACGGATTTTTTTTTAAATATTGCCTTGTAGAATTAGAAAATGGATTACTAGCTTTATTAATTGGTATAACGTAAACAAATAGTACTTCAATAAAATTTTGAATGTATAATACCAAAACTTTCTATCATGCGTAGTAAAGGATACCCAGGGCAAAATAATATCTAATCAAAAACACCTTAGGTGTGGAAAAAGGTGTGGCCAAAAAAAAGGATTGAGTGTGCAACTTAAAAAAATGAAATCAAATTAGTGGCCAAACTAGTAGCTACACTTATAGCATTGATAAGAATTATACTAACTAATAACTATATACTACGACGTACGAC